GGCGGGTCATATATTTGTGGTACCCGAATACGCTGAGTGGCTCTTTTCTTGTTTTGGTGTCCAGTTGGTTCGTAGAAATAGCAAGCAACCAAATCACATTCTCCGCTTGCAGCACCACATGGCCATGGCCACATTTTGACTGCGTCTACAAGTCTCCAGCAGAACATAGGGTATTGTTGTTAAGTATTTTTTTCAGGCTTAGGGGCATTGTTGGGTAGTTTCTGTTATATTGAGAGGAATTCAACTATGTCCAGCAATCAACCTGAAGCCCTCTTCATGGTTGACCGAGTGGGAGGTCGTGCCGGCATCTTCCCTCGGGCTCAGGCGTTGCGCTTACTCAACGCTTCAGAGCCACTGCAAGGAACCATAAGAGTCTAAGAATCTGGTAGCATACAACAAATGAGTACAATTAGCAGCCCAAATTCGGAGATTTCACAGGAATTGGTCCACAATTGGGGTTCCAACGTGCTAAGTGATTGTTCATCACCATAAACCATCCCCTGCAGCTGGCTCAATTATTAGCTCGGCCACTTAACTGGGGTGAAAATGGAGGGTTGGCCAGTGCTCCATACTCCCTCTTCGGTGACCACTGCAAAAGGGACCTCTTTGGTAACAAAGAAAGATCGATTTCGTTGCCTTCTCACGGCCGTTTTAAGAACCTCCACGGATTGACATCCATTCCGGACCAGCGGAATCCAGCTGCACCGAATTCTCTGTGGTGGGTCTGAGTTCTGGAACAGGGCATCATCGCATTCTGATTGCGTCCAGCAAAAGATGTTCTTCTGTCGGGAAGTGTGTCGGCGTTCTCCCTGCGTCTAAGACAAAGCAGACCCTCGGAGAAACAAATTGGATTCTTCATTCCCATACTCCATTACTGATACTGATTCATAGCGGGCCCCCTCGTCACTAATAGTCACTGGGTTGCAATGGATCCCCCATGGCACCGAATCAACACATGTGTTCTGTCTTTCTCGCACTGAACGTCATCAGGTCAACAGGCACATCACATTGGTTTGTTTCCCACTTACTCGGAAGCAAACAGACATTGACATAGCACTAAGAACAAGCCCCAAGGTACTCAACCCCCTTTACCCCCCCCGGCAAAAAAAAACACTAAAACTAAGAAGAAACAAACACAAGTACCCCAAAAAAATCCTCCAAAAGTGAAGATACAGGCACCTTGGCTCCGAGCTCTCCACCTTCGCAAACTTCCATTTGCTTAAGTCGCCTAGTGATAGATTCCCTTTACAACCAACAGGGGAAAATTAAAGACAGTCTTAAGCAAATGGTTGTGTCATTTTTGATGGACCCCCGAGACTTTGTTGATTTCCTTTTGGTTTCCTTTGAAAGCCCCAAAAAGGCTACCCTCAAAACAAAGACAGCCCCAAATGGAAGAGAAAGGCCACTTTGGCCGGGTTGCCAGCGCCCAGGGCAGGTACTGGTTGCTGCAGCCCAGGCGTCGGCCCGAAATCCACCGCCAACGTCGGTCCGCTCGAAGCTCGCAGGACGTGCTCACGTACCTTACAGTGAATTCGGGCAACAAAAAGGTCGAAACAACTACATGCTCCTATATGATATATATATGCTTCTATATAATCCTTGATCCTGAGTGTAAATTGAAAATCCGAATTGCTTTGGCTTACTTGTAGCAGAGTTAGAGCTGTTTCCACTCACAATGAAAGATGAAACGTGGCACAAAGGATCCAGCATGTCAACCACTGACACTGGAGCATAGTGATAAATGCCTCAAAATATCGCATTTCGACAGGCCTTAGCGTGCTGTCCAAATACATCGCAAACTACCTGAACCTTTGGCACTTGGCACGAAACATCCCCTACTCTCTGGCCATGCACTTCTGCTTTCTCGCCTTCGCCTTGCATGTCGACCTTGCGGAAGCCCAACAGCAAAGGTCCCAATGAATCAAACCGATGGGAACACCCTTGCTCACTTCGGGTGTTGCGCAACACATCAACCAGCTGAGGGCAGGTGCAGCTTTTGATCCCTGATCCAACTGACAAACAGCTACCTCCAAGGACTTGACAAGTCAAGTAACTTTAGCCCAAGCCTTGAGTCTACTCCTCGGACAGCGGCATGCCAATGGGTCATCGTATGCAACTCCAGTGTTCCGGTCAAGTCACAAGAACATAACCAATGAACACTCAACAACCTAGGATCCAAGTGCCTGCTTGAGTGAACCATGAAGCCGAAGCAACCAGACATGGATCGGGGAACATGAATTCACAAAAGCGCAGCAAGTACCAACGGTATGCAGAGCTTCCCATGTTTCCCCTTTGAAAACCACCCCAGTAAAAGGAAACTCACTTTAAACAGTTTTGAACCACCACCTTTTACGTTGTAAACATGCTTAAGCCACCAAAAGGAAAAATCTCAGAAACCCTATGCCTTTTTTCGGAAATCGAGCGCCTGCCGCCCGGGTCATACCAGGGGTTGATGGTGCGCTGCAGCCTTAGTTCTGGATACTCTTCCAGGGTCACAAGAGGTTGAAGTACCTCCTTAGAAGGTACCAAGGGGCCCTTAGGGCTTGCTTGTTCTGAGGTGAAAAGGACACTAAACACCAAGTTGTCCTGGGGAACGAGTGTCAGGTTTATTCCCATCCCACACAACTATGACATTTCACTGCGCACACATCCAGCATTCTCTGGGCTCCTTGAGGTCTGCCCAACATATCATGTATTTCTACCTCAGGGCCCTGTCTTTGCTCATTGCAAGGCTCTGAACTTCCAAACCTGCAATAGCCATGCCACACTGGTCCCTGCTCAGTGCATTCGGCGTAGGGGAAGCCGTGCACGCGCCGATTGCAGCTGCCCCGATAGGCCACCCCCGTCTGGAGGACCTGAATTGGACGGCTCACTCACATCCGGGTGCAACAAGCCTTGAACACTCACATCTCGTTTCAGCTTACTGGGTTGCTACAAGCGGGCTGGATCCCATCCTAATCTTGAATCTGTGGTGGAACGCAAAGGGGACTCACTGCCTCCTTGAGGATCAAGGCTTGAGAGTCAACCCCAAACTCACATCTCAATTTGTTTGATGGATGGTAACTGGTTGCAATCATAAAGGCACAAGTGCACAATAGTCATCATTCACCCTGCTGTTGCTGATGGAACTGGTTCTACTCTCGTGGATTTGATGTGTCTTGTTCTGCTCGAGGGGTTCTTTTGGATGGGGTGGCATATGAGTCCCAAATCCCGATCAAATCCTGCTGGTGGGACTCCCTCACAAATTCAGCAGGCGCATAAGAGCGATAATAGTTACTACACCTTCCTGGAGTACAAGAGTCCAGAGTCCGAAAAAGCCACACGCCTAGATGCCACGGACTTGAATCAACAACTAGAATCGAAACAAACACACGCGCACACATACCCACACAGACACACACACACACACACACACACACACACACACACACACACACACACACACACACACACACACACACACACACACACACACACACACACACACACACCAGCCAAAAACAAAGTGATCGACACGCGCCTCGGCCACCCCAAAACCCCGCGCCTTGCAAGTCACCGCCGTCCAGTTTTGGCACGCCCAGATCTGTGCAATGTGCATGGAATGGCTCCCAGGCAACTGTTGGATTCATGGGCGTGAATTGTTTGTCATCCTTTGGCGGAGAATTGGGTGTGGATTCATGTCCAACCACTTTTGAGTCGGTTCCCCATTGCAAATTCATGGAACGGGTCGTTTTGCAGGTCTTGAGAGGGGGGAGGGGCTGGCATCAGAGAACAGCGACCCTGAAGGATATTTATCCGAATGAAACCAATGCAAAGCTGGCACGGCCCCTCGGCATCAGCTAGAAGGGTTTGAATGACCACCGAAAAACGTGTGCAATTGTCTGCAAAAAGAACCAAAGACCCTGCCCCGCATGTCGGATTGTTCGAAAAAAGCAACACAGCCTCAGCCGGCCAGACGATACCACAAGATCTATGAGGCCGAACAGAGTAGTGGCTAGGGATTCGCTCATGGTTCGCGTGTCATTGCCAATCCTGTAGTGCTGTCGTTCCTTTGCGAACAATGGAGACCCAGCTGGTTATCAACTGCAAAAATGGTGACGAGCAGGAAACACCTGCTTGAGTGTAGGGAACATGCTTGCAGTAGGTTTTGCGGGATTCGCGCGGGAGTCAGGGGGTTTGCCGAGATGCTCAGCATATTCATGCGCAACAACTTGAGTTCATCTCAACCAAGGTCTGAAGTTGCAAGACTCCACTTCTGACTTCATTGAGAAATCCACTACTCGTAGCTGTACGCTCCTTGTTGTGTTTCTGCCGCCAAGACATGGCAGAGCATTTTTTGCGGGTTCTTGCTGATCAACGTTCTGCCTCTTCAATCATTTGTTTCTTCTTGTTGTGCAATGCTGCCGTGCAGGGCCAATGTAGGGCTACATAGAACAAAAGCCTGTCAGCGTCTACACGAACCAGGAAAGACGGGCGGTCGTCTGTCAAACGGGTGAGCTAGAGGACATATCAATCCCCTAACTGGGTACGACCCACTAAGTCACGGTGAACGATTGTGCTGCAAGAAGCATTGCCTGCCTCCACAGCATTTCCTACACTCCACCGAGACCAATTCAGTCCGCGAATCATGTCGCACACAGAGGCCACAAACCATGTCCGCTTACCTAATCCTACGTTGCCGATGTTCAGAACATGGCATTGTGGTTCCAGGGCTGACGGGTTTGATCAGAAGTGGATGCATTGAGGACGGGCTAAGCTGAAGCCAAGTCGACAGCTCGTACAGGGCTGTTCAATTGTGCTCGCTCCTGGCTTGTTGAAAAGCACCCCCTAGTCCTGATGCCAAATGGCAGTGGTTTCCCTTGTTGTGTCCCAATCGATTGCGGCAATTACTGCAGTTTCCTGAGAAGCACGCACTGTCCTTTCAACATAGAAGTGTCCTTATTAATTCCAGCTTTCATGCTCCATCACGCTCGCCCATCTATCCCATACTCTGACATGCTGACACCGGATTAATACGGGGCAGGTGATGGAGGGGGAGGGGGGGTTCTCGACCAGGGTTGTCAAAATAAGGGGCGCCCTTCTTTCCCTCCAAAAGGCACCTTGAGTGGCACCGTCCAAAACGGGATCCATGGCAACCCTCGAGGCATCGCCCCCCGCCTCTTCCGGCGACTGGGCTGCCTGAGAAAGAATGCCAGTGCCGACTTGAAGCCCCTGAGGCAAAACGGCCGGAATCCCTCGTAGCAAAGTTGCTCAATGACGTAGAAAAAGGGAATCCTTCTGGGGTAATTGTATCAGTCTAGGGTTTGGGGTTGAGGGTTCAGGGTAATGCTAGTGCACGATTGGAACCTGAGATCGGAAGTTCGCACTTGGTGAAAACCATATGCTAGAATCCTGCCTCTGAGCAAGCACAACCTTAAAATCTCGGTAACGATCCACCGGCGCGACTATTTGCCCCAATAACTCACTTCCCAAGCTTCACCGATGAGCAAGACCCCCCCCTGGCCAAATGTGGCTTGACTGAACCCTTCTCCACCTCAAATCCCATTAGCAAAAACGAGTTTAAACAAGCTATATGCTCTGGGGTAGCTTTCAGGAGGGTTCCGCAGGGGGTTCCGGGCCTGCTGGGGATACCACCTTTAAGTCTCGCGGTTTGTTTAGGTCTTCCCAAAAACGCAGCGAGTCCAACTCAAGAACACCTTGGCGCCCGTCAAGCAAACCAAGGTGCTGCCATGGCCAGGAAGGCCAATCCGCGCGCCATGACTTCCGCGGGATTCGGATGCATCCCTCTGAAGGGCTTTGAGTTTTTGTTGGGTACCGAGACGAAACACTCTAAAATTCCATTCCAAACCTAATAATAATGTCATTCCCAAGCAAATGACCTACATGAGTCTGTTCTACCCCCGCAACGGTGAGCTCAAAAAGAAATCGGAAGCATGAAATTTATTGTTTCCCCGCGCCAAGTTGGAATGTTTTTCTGGCAGCTCTAAGATTTCGGAGGCTTAAGTGATTGACCGTTTCGCTTGGACGTGTAAGGCACTCATTGCACCTGGCGCCATAGAAAACCAAACCGCGAACCAAGCATACCTTCCCGGGTCATTGATCTTGAGCAGACATTCTCCACACCATCCGCATCTGCCAATATCATAAGTTGGCAAATGCCAGCTTGCTCCTGCCAAGATGATAAAGTGGGTGTGTCTTCAATTAGGGGGGCCAAAAATAATAATTGCCCTTTGGTATTCCTTTAACATAAGCCCAAAGGGAACCCTCAAACCAAAATCACCCAAATGGACAATCGGAATTTAGAAGGTTGAAGCCCTATAGGTCCTATGTGAATTCTGCAAGGTGCAGCTTGTCTGAGTCGCTTCCATGTGATGCGCGATGCACTTCTGCGAAGCACGAAAAAGCTGCAAATGCCGAAACGTCTCTTGCACGTGGCGTCACATCACAAGGCATACTTGTCAGAAAGCCATGAAGAGGGTCAGCAAAACAAGTTGCTTGAAAACGCTTTTCAGTATTATGAACACCCGGCTACTTCCAATGTTGCTGCTAGTTGAAACCATTCATCCCACCAGGAAACCAATAATTAAGACACTGGTTTTTCAAGCAATAGTCCTTCATGATCAGTCTCAGCAAGGGGGACATGTAGTGGAGCTCTCCAAAACAGGCCCTCCGGCTCCCCTCCCACTTTTATATTTTGAGGGGTAAGGATCGCAAAGGGATCCTGTGTTGGGTCGGGCAGTGATGATGCCAGTTGTTCAAAATATCGGTCAACGAGAAAACAGCAACACGGTTGCTTCCAAGATAATTCCACTGCCCCCAAAACACCTGCGGGTTCGCGAATACTCCAATAAAAGCACAAAGGAAAGGTTGTTCAAGGCACAGGCACAAGTATGTCGCTTCTTGCCATGCGAGAGGCTTGCAGACTCCCAGGTTCAAAACATGAGCTGCATTGCGAAGGCTTGTGAAACGACCAAACGACTTCCCCTATTTGCCTCTGCGCAGAACATGCAAGTAAAGCCAATCTCCAACGTGAGCTTCAAGCCTCTCAATGGCATGCTATTCACCACCTGCACATCAGTAGGCAATCGTGCGGGGATGAAGAATTCTTTCAGGAAACACCAGCACAAACGAAAGGAACGGAAAAAACACACCTCTGTGCACTCTCCCCTCTTGTCAATTGTGAGCCCATTTGCAGAAAGGAGCACTGAGCAGGGTGCGAGCCAATCTAAAGCAATTGTGCTTGCGCAAGAACTTGTTGACTCCCAATGCCTTCTAGCTTGTAAGGAACCAACGGAACGAAAAGAACAACAAGGGCTCGACTGGTGGCGAGTCTAAGGTGACAAGCTGCATGATTGAAGGTTGGCCAGCTGGGGTTGGCAAGCCACCGAGGCGATTCTGAGCACCAAAAAGAAGTTGCAGGTTGGTGTGACATCCTTGAAAGCCTTTCCAAGAGTTTCCATTTGGTTAAGACCCCTGGAAAAATAAACATATTTCCAGTCGTGATAAACTCCTTTTAAAACCAACAAGGGATTAAAAAAAATGGAAAACAACTATTCTTAAACAAATGGAAGAGAGTCTTAAGGCTGATGCACTTCCGCCACTTTTGGGAGAGTCTCGCCGGGCTTCTCCGGTTCGGTCCCGCCTGTACTTGCCGGCGCAACTCTTGCATCTCCCGCTCTCGGAGCTGGCCGGGGGTGAACGAAAGGGAGCGTAGGAAAGGCTAAGACAGGAAAAGGGCGTCGCTGAATGCTGGATTTGTCAACCTTTCTCTTGAACCTTTTTGGGGCTGCGTCAAGAAGCTCAGACCGTTGGACACTGCGACAAACCCCGAGACTCCCCCCTTGTAGAAACTAATGGTCGACTGGAGGCCAATGCATCCGCCGAACCCTCTGCGCTCGGGAGGCAAAGCAAATTGAGCCATGGCACTGTGGATATGATTGGATGTATGCCGGAAGCTACTGCCCTGCGGCCTCATGTATGCCTCTTTTCGCTGAGAGAGCCCCTGTACCTCACTGCACAGCTTCAATGCAAATAAGTAGACAGTGTACAGCTACGTTTGCGCTTCATCCAAAGCAACTGCGAGTTCTTGTCCAAAGCGCACAACATTTGGGGCATCGGAAATCAATCCTGGTCCGAGAATTCCTCGTCAGGTTTGAGCCCGCCCCCCAATGTGCCTTCCAGCGAATGGCAAAAGGAGCAGCCCCCCCCCACCCATGAATTGGCATGCCCAGCCACCTGACTTCCTGCACAATTCATACTTCAATTCACCTCAGAACAACCGAACAAGCTGGCCTTCAATACAGCCTGCTGAGATGGCCAGAAACGATTCAGTTCTCGGCGGGCCTTGGCAATGACGAAACTTGAGCAAAGGTTCAAGCTTGCCAGCTCCAAAGGCAAGGAAAACGACACTCACCCACGCCAGTTTGTCTCCCAACCCAAAACAAGTTCCAGTGGCGAAGCTTGACTCAAACAAAACATGCTTCAAGAGAGATCCCCGTGGCGCTGTTCGACTTCCACGCCTGCTCCCGCTCCTCAAGTTGCAGGAGAAGGGCGCCTGGGTGCAATTTCTAGCGTGTCCATGTTTTAGAAGACCAGGCTTTGGCCGAGTTGCACGTGGAGCTCCAGGAAAACAAGCAAATCCTCTCTTGTTTGTTAAGTGAGTCTAGTGTGGACCCGCTATTGCTACTGCGACTGATCATCACTGTGAGAGCTCGACTCAGTTTTCCGGCAAGGATCATTCACCATGTCTCAACCATGGGGTGAGGTATTTGACTAATTATGTTTGACTCCCTGGCAAGCTGGAAGCAATCTGAGAAAACCAAGTCTCGTAACACCCACGAGGATCCAAATCTGAAGGGATTCCAAGCGTCCCTTGCACATGGTCCACAGATCAAGGATTGGCTCATCTCGCGGGTCGCCAGTCTACTCAGTCCCATTGTGGAACACACCTTCAACCATGTGGTACGCAAACATTGCGCTGGGGGGGGGGGGGCAATGGTGACCCATGGAATGGTTCTCTTGTGCTGTCTCAGACATGCCATGTTGACAGACCTTGGCATTCCGACCACAGTATGATAAGTAACAAAAGAGATCCCAGAAAAGAACTTCTATCTGGCGATGTGTGCAACACCAATCTGCCTCACTGAAATGAGAGAGTCTCCATGCGGCAGGTTGCCTCTGAATCTGAACAGGAATCGACTTTGAAAACCATGAAGACAATATTGCTGCTGGTTCATCAACCCCTCCCCTCAAAAACAGTTCTCAAAGCTTGGCCCAAACGCCCCAGAAACATCTTCAAATTATGTTTCACCTATAATGTCGCTTGTTGAGGAGTAACTTTTGCTAGGGAAACCAAATGGAAAATCACAATTTGGGGGAACCCCCAAAAAAAACAGCAGGCCCAATTTGGCGGTTGCCAAAAAAAGGTACTTCAAGGGACCCTGTGGCGATGAAAACCCGGATCAATCTTCTGCCAAAGCCGCGCATTCGCAGGTTCTCGGCTCGAAGGCGTTCGGCCTCGCGCACAGGGAAGCTATAGTCACCCATCAGACCATGTTGTTTTTCTCTCCCAATGCAGCTTCCAGAACAACACGTCTCTGTGTCCAGCCACTTGGTAAAGCAATGCCTGCCTTTGATCTTCCTTACGGCTCAAGGTCCAGAGGTCAATTGGACATATGTTACAAATCGCGCAGAACTGTTCTCCAATTCGCGGCACAAACCAGCGGCTTTTTGGCACCCAAAACACCGGGAAGGTGAGGAAAGCAATCGATGCTGCCCACTCGATGCTTTGGTGCACTTGCCTGCTTTTCCTTGGTTACAGAGAAAAGAGTAAGCGTCCTCAAATGGAATTACCTGGTGCTTGCGGGAGGAACCAAAATTATGCCAAAAGGGCCACCCTCGCTTCAAGCGAATGAAGAGCACTAGTGGCTCGATGGAAATTAACATCCAACCGGACGAGAGGACCCAAATGTTCCGCAACGCCTCTTGACGCACATCTGAAAGGCAGTCTTCGTCCTGGCAGGTGTGCGGCTGATCAAATTGGAAGCCTTGCCACGTGTCCACTAATTAGTTGGAATCAAGAAGCTTTGCGCGTCCAAGAGGTCATTGGACCCTAGCCATGAACCAAGCAAGGCGATGACGATGTTGATGTGCCAGGAGGAAATTCCACATTTCTTTTGACAGGCTGGCCTTACTTTGGAACACATCAGGCACCAAAGTAGGACGGAGGAATTTTAATCGCCAATAGAGGGTTCAGTTCCGGACTTGAGGGCAAGAAGGTCTCCCGAGAGGGATATGCTAAAAATGCCTGCCCCTCCTTTGGATGATGGGCATTGAAGGACGACGTGGGGAAGACCTAAAGGAATGCAAGTGTGGATACACGTAAGTATGAACAGCCTGTTGGCATCCCGAGAAGATCCAACATATTTGCATCCAGCCAAACAGCCCCGCATGATCAAGTCTGCTCATCAATTGCATTCCCCGCAAGCAATCTAAATATCAAACAAATAACTAATAACCAAATAGCCAATGACTGTGATCGGGCATGCAGTTCACGCGGAAACACCGCCACATAGACGAATCTTCTCAGATCGATCCCAAGATCCAGCCAGTGACGAGACCCCAAAAACAAATAAGACATTCAAACTACCAGTACAGGCCAACCAATGCAACCACACACCGCGCGTCCAAGCCAAAGAAAAGCAACCCTACATCCTTGCAGAGCTGACGTGGCAAACTATATAGCGGTTTCGCGGCCTTGCTCCCGCCTCCGCGGGCGGTGGCTTTGCGGAGGCTTCGCCAAAACGGCCCATCCTTTCTAGACAACCGGGTCAGAAACACACAGCTTGGAAAACAGCACTCTCGGTGCAGCAAAGTTTCCGTCGCCCACAGCACAAGCGATCCAATAGCAAGCGATCCTACAACAAGACTTGCGCAAAGTGACTCTATGCATGAACCTTTCGAATGCTCCCACCATGAAAGCTCAACAAAAACACTGAAACCAGGTTCGATAAGTGGCTTTGCCTGTGCCAATTTTGCGGGAGTGCGGCACTCAATGTATCACAAGTCTGTTTGTGGACCTTTTTGGAGTTCATTTATCGAGAAAAAACAACGCTACTCACTAATCTTTCCGGACGTGGGCTCTTGCATGCACGTGGCCCACACCAGTCCCTCGCCCCAAAAGGCAAGCTCCCTCTCCGGCGCAGAGATGCCGTGTGCCGTGTTTTTGCGCTGTACGGCCCTCGGACGGCCGGGGAGCAGATTCGATGAAACCGCTGGGTTTGACTATGATTGTCTCCCCACAGACCCCAAAATTATTGCGGAAGGTCATACTGATGGGGTGTGAGTCACCCAGATATCACAATGACAGACGCAGGACCTCAAACCGGCACCATGCAAGGCGAGGCATACCCATTTGAAGGCAACCCATACATGCGCACATGAACACCACCTGAAAAGCGTCACACCTTGAACATTGAAAAGGGCTTTTTCGCGAGCTGCACACGGGGTTTGTCACAAAATAGGGACACCCTCCAAACAAATAGTTTCCTTCTTGGTTTCCCTCTTGTCAAGCCCAAACAAAGGGCACCTTTTAAGCAGAACACACTCATATAGGCTTTACTAGATTACAACAGGTAGTAGTATGCTAAATTGGCCTATAGGACTCGGTCTTGCGCACTCCAATCGGGCACCCGCGCAAGGAGTTGAGACGGGCGCTGAGCTGCAGAGAGTGCAAAGTCTCCCCCAGGGACGACCTCTCGACTGGGCTTGACTCGGTTAACAGCAGAACCAACATAAAACCCAGCAACAGGAAATCACTGCGACACCCGCCAACAGGGAACCACCATGAATCTGGACAAATTATAATAATTTCTACCTCGTACCTCGAACTATTAAAAAAAAACTACCTCGCAAAATTAAGGGTCCACCCCGCACCTCGTATTTCGGGGCCTTCTTTGCCTCTTAAAAAAGGGTGTAAAATTGGAGGGGGTCGAGCCAAGTGTATTGCTGCAACCGTTTTTTCAAAGGTGTGTGTTGTCCAGCTTGTTAGGGGCAATTAAGCAGAAGCGGCTGGTTTTTGACAACTTGATGCCAGTCTTGATGAGACAAAAAGAAGTAATATAGCTGCTCTTTTGCATCTCCTGACCAAGCCTCAAATTAGAATAGGATACAGGTAGATCCAAACCAACTGAAATGTCATTCAGGGTTCAAGATTCCCTGGAAAGTTTGGAGCCTTTTTGCTGCTTTCCCCAAAGCCACAACAAAAGGCCGAAAACACTGCACATGCCAGTGAATTCTGAAGGAAGGTAGATCCATGGGGGGGTACTAAATATGTATATATCTTCGTATAATATGTATACATGCCTGCATCCGTATGTAGAGGTCTGTACACATAAACATGTCTGTGATCTTTAGATAGTCACTGCTTGGGGTGGGCCCTCTTTCGCCTGGTGGGCGGCAGCGCAATAATGATCACCGTTCGGCTGTTCTGCTGGCCGCCCAGGGCATCCTGCGATCTTGTCGGTTGTTGCGGGGGGGGTGGTCCGTGCGTGGAGAGTTCGGGGTGTTGGGAACGTGGAGTCTTCTGGGGTAATGGTGTGTGTGTGTGTGTGTTCATTTGCGGGCAAATGGGTGGCGGTGTGTGGTCAAATGTCTCCTTCGCAAGTGAGATCAGTGAATCATGGATTCCGAATGTTGCAGGAGAAAAAGTTTTCGTCTTCAACCCTCCTGGGGAAGCCCAGCCTGGGCACCTCGCAACCTCCCGGAACTTGGGAACTTGACCCAAAAACCCGCCAACGCCGGGATTCCAAGTCGCTCTTGCAAAAAAAAACACTCAGAGCTTGGACAGGTTTGGAACAAGCTGGATTAGACAACCACCACCAAGCCCGAGCCTTTGGCACAGTGATGCTTTCTCAGTGGCAAGGGGCTGTCAGGGGAACCGCAAAGAAACTGGTGCTTCCTGAGCTGAAACAGGCTCCGACCCTGTCACAACGGTAGAGATTTGGTCTCTGGAGAAAGAAACAAACCCATCAATTACTACCCTTGTCGATGGTCATCATTTTTTAGATTCAGAGCAACCCTCCGGGAAACAATCTCAAACAAGTTAGCTCGGGTTGCCAACTGGCAAGTTGATGGTAAGCACAAGCTACTTTTGTGTCTAACTCCATAAGCTCGCAACACATAGAAAAGCAACAACCAAAAGGCTCCGACCGTCAAACAGGTTGGGGGCACACCCCAGAATACCCTCTAGAACAAGCGTGCATCAAGTGCGATTTTCAGACGCCCTTGTTACTCTCGCTCTGAACAAGTGCGGTTGGACAAATGCAGTTGAAATGTGACTGGGTGCGCAAGAGAGAGAGAGAGAGAGAGAGAGACAAAGAGAGAAAGAGAGAGAGAGAGAGAAAGAGTGAGAGACAGAGAGAGAGCGGGAGAGAGAGAGGGAGCGAGAGAGACATCCTGCAACTTGCCAATTTTCCCCCTCACCTGAAACTCTTAAGAATCCCTCAGCATGCCACTTCAAAGCAGGTTTGCTATGCTATGACCACCATAAAAGGGCATACCCTAACAAAAAACCAACCTACGCCAACAACAGTCCTTCACAACCCCCCCCCCCATTCCTGGTTAAACCGCTCCCCCTTGGCGACGACTCTGTGCTACCAGCCAGTAGCTGCTATTGCGAATTTAGCAGCTAAGAGCTTCCGATGCTAATGGCAGCTATCAGCAGCTGTTAGGCTCATGGGTTTCCTTAGTTGGACCACCCACATTGCAAGTTGACAGCTCGCTCCCAGATTGTGTGAAACAACTCGGGTTTTGACAAGAGGCTGATAACAGCTATTAGCAGCTTGCAGCTAAAGCACGCACGTCCTGGGATCTGGCCCAAAAGTCGGGGTTGACACACCTCCCGACCATTTCAAACACCCACCGGCGATGGGAGCTGACAAACAGTGCATCCCGCACCCGGCCTTCTGCGAACGCTTCACACAAAAAAACCTCGAACGAAACGGGGAGGGGGTCCAACAAGGGGGTTCAGTAATCTGTGGCTTTTGGGCGCTGCTAACTCTTCACCTCACTTCCTGATGAGCAAAGGCCTGAACCTGTCGTTGCTCACCCAAATCAGCCTTACAACACTACGGCGTCCAAAAGCTAGCGAAGTGAGTTGCTGCAAAGAGACCGTCGTTTCCTAAAAACCGGCCCCCCTAATTGGCGGAAACCATCGCGCGGGTGCCTGCAAGAGGTGCGTCAGCTTGGAGTTTCGGTAGGGCACATGAGGCACTCCTTTCTCCTGGCACAGCTGCCAAAGAATCATTCAGCTTCGCCCGCATTGGTGCTTTGGAGGTTGTGGATTGATGAGGCTGGCGATGGTTTCCCATTTGCCCTCTACAAGAACCCAGGGGTTCAAATCCCAATGCACATATCCGAATCACCAATTAAGGGTTACCTGAATGACTGCTCACCATGCTAGCAAGTGTTGGAACTGAAAAAGTCAGTTCATGCGTTGGAAAGCCGGTGTGGGCACCAATCAAACATTCGAAGAACCAACGGTCGCCAACTTCGGGTGAACAGGTGGTATCCTTTTGTTTTCGCTCTAAACCAGCCCCTGGTAGCCTCGAAAAAAAATCACACCCATAATATTCTCTTGGGGGGGACTCTGAACATCTGGACGCGAAACACAGCATGACGCGAAGCACAGCATGTCACAATGCTGTCTGTCTCCAGTCAACGTCAGCCAGTCGACAGTGCTCGCAATCCTTTTAGAGCCCATGTCCACGGATCTGCACCAAGGGGTGCCTGAAGGAAATCGATCACCGTCAACCTTCGGGTCGTCCAAATGACACATTTGCTCTTGAGTTCAATGCTTCCTCTTGAGTTCCCTAAAAGGTATAGGTTGCGCCAAATTGGGGCCGCGAAACGGGACGGATTCTCCTTGGCCACCACCACGTCCGCCAGCGCGCTGAGGGACCGGTTGATGTGCTGGGCTTCCCTGAGGCGCTCTCCTGTCGC